TATTCCCTTCCCATTCTCCCGCCGTTCCCTAGCTTGTCGTGCATTCTTTCCAAAAATCAGGGCTTTTTAAAAATGCCACGGGACACAGGACAAATTGTTAAAAGTGGGACATCTGGTCACCTTATTAACACAACTCACAGTTTGGCTCTGCGGAAGTACAATAAGTCAACAGACACATGGGAAGTAGATCCACCCGAGTGCAGATCACTCCTTCCCTGAGAGCTGTATCTGCCAAACAAACCAGAAATACGTGTTTTCTCATCAGTGCATTTTTCCCCTCTGAGAGCAAAATATACCTGGGAAGCCATATCGAAGGGTCTTTGGTAGGCAGGGAATCAAAGCAAGGGGCTCCAACAAGGTGACCCTCACCATTGATCTTGCCGAGTTATGAGAGCCCAGCTCATATCTCCTTCACTGAAAGGGCCGATCCATCAAGCTGAACAGGAATTTTTAAAGGTCCCCCAGCCAGAATGCTCACAATTCTGGATGGTACTTAAAACCTGCTAACAAATTCTTTGACAGCACGCTGAACTTATAAATGTTTGTCAACACAGTTGATTGGGTTCTTTTTTCACAAATAATTATGAGAAGACAGTCTGACCACCATGATGGGGCTTGAGTTTTTACCAAGCCTTCTTAGCCACAAACACACTGTCAAACATCTTCTAGGGTACAGTACTTCTACACATGACTAAGTTGTACAGTAGGTGTTGACTCTCACTAGTACCCTCTCAGAAGGTTCTCCAGTACTAAGTTCTTTTATTCCTTAATTCATCAGTCTTGCCCCACATGCCTACTATCCTACCTTTAAGGACTTCTTACTATAATAACTAACGCTGGTAGGGCACATTTTACATCTGTAGGGCTTTCATAACCATAATCTATTTGATTTTTAGAATCCCCCTGTGAAATCTGGGGGGGGGGGTGGTGGAGGGAGAAGTCTTCTCTCTCTATTTCTGCTATATTTTTTTCTTCCATTAAAAGCTAGTTTTCTCTGTTTCCCTGCACACATAACACAAAACGGCTGCCAATAGCTTTGAATCCTTTTTTACGTGGTTCAAATCCTACTACTTTGAGAGTTACCTGGTAGATACTTGATTTGTCCCAATTCCAGATTCCCTTGGGGCAAAATTTATGAGAGCTTTTTTTGTTTGTTTGTTTTTTTGGTCTCCACAGATCAGTTAACTGCATCTGCAAAGTGAGGGGATGGCATATGGGGTGGGTGGTGAGATCAGGCTGTATGTGCAGCATATTGTAACCATATGGTGGAGACAGGGTGGTGACATTCTCAAAAAAGGCAACAGAGAGACATCTGACAGGTATACTCAACCTCTCTTAAACAAAACTTAGGAGGTAGTTATTCTCTTTCTCTCATCTGTACCTACCTCCTCTTGGAATTGCTCTGAATGAACTTTTCTCCTCTGATTAACTGGAAAGGTTACAGGGTTGACCTCTCTTTGGCTTACTCCCGCTTTCCTAGATTCCGTCCTTCCTTCCTCCTTGTATTCTTTTTTCCAACATGGTGTGAAGACTAAGAAGGTGCCACCTAGATCTATCTTGAAATCTATCTTTTAGCAGCAAGTAGCAGCAAACCCAGTTTCAACTGGCTTCCTAAACTGGTTCTCAAAGTGTAGTCCCAGGGCCAGCAGCATCACCTATGAACTTGTTAGAAACACAAATTCTCAGGCCCAATCCTGGACCTACTGAATCAGGAACTCTGAGGGTAGGACTCGCAAAGTGCATTGTAAGCCCTCCAGGTGATTCAGAGGAACTCTAAACCACTGGTATAAACTGTAATAAAATTTATTACCTTCAATAACAAGAAGTCCAGAGGCAGAGCAGGCTCCAGGTGCAGTTAAGATCAGCCGGCTCAACCACATTAATGGCGATGGATGAACCTTCCCTCCCTTCTGCTCTGCCGTCATCAATACATTGCCTTTGCTCTCTTGCTGGTTTCCCTCGTGTTCACTGTCAGCACAGAGAGAGAGGACAAAAGGGGTCAGGTCCCTCCTGGTTCTCATGTCTAGGATTAAAAAACTTTCTGGCTTGGCGCCTGTGGCTCAAGTGGCTAAGGCACCCGCCACATACACCTAAGGTGGTGAGTTCAAACCCAGCCGGGCCTGCCAAACAACAATGATGGCTGCAACCAAAAAATAGCCAGGTGCCTGTGGTCCCAGCTACTTGGGAGGCAGAGGCAGGAGCCTCGCTTG